TATATATATATATACACGTAACGATTCATTTCACAGTTTCTAATCTTGTACTATTATACAGCGTTTCACTGGCCTGTGTAGTAGAAATTTACGTATATACTTACTAAGAATCAAACAATATATTCGGCAGCCTGTGTGGCAAGTAACACTTGACGGAAATTCGTCAGGAACAACCTCCTACCGAAAGGATCAAAGGGAGTCCATCCGTAATTTCGACAAACGAAATTATGGTACATACATATTTACACATTTTTTTCGTGTAGAAGATACGATTTTTCTCACGAAGTCTCGCCGCACATCGACTTCGACTTCGCTTTGCGTTGTTACACAAGAAATCAAAGTCGATCTCAATATGTCGATCGCGCGTAAAGCGTAACACGAGTGAAAGGAGGAAACTCAATCCGGATAATTATAAATAAAGAAACATTTATTTTACAGCATAAAACCATAAATTTTACGATCTTAATTCGGTAATGCCGAAATATTCGTTAATATTGTATAATACTAATATGAGCAATCTCGAAGTTTTATAACGTGAATTACATAGTGCGTATCGATTAACAGTTTCGCATTTCAGTGAGTACTACAGTGTCTCGTGTCATCCGATATATAACAATGTATATTAGGTCAATAACAGTCTTGCGGCTGAGGTACCGGTTTACGATAGTCTTTATTTTCCGAGTCAACAGCCAATTCGATTGCTGATTAGAACGTTTAGATTTATAGTTTATCGGTAGCGTGGGTATGGTTGGCAGTGGTGGCGTCAGATAGGACGGTCTCCTTGCTAGAGTTAGTGGCGAGCTCCTCTTCCCTGTAAGACAACAACGTTACATGGCAATCGAGCCTCGAATCGTTTCAGTTTTGTCAGAGAAATCCTATTTACTTTCGCGCGAATCTGCATGTGTTTTGCAAGTTTGTTCTTTAACAAGGATACCGTTGGAACTGATCCTCACCAATTTTAATGAACTGAGGGTGGATATGTTGTACACAGCATAAAAAATATTAGATTTATATCTTTTTTCTGTGCTTATTTCGAGGTTTAGGGAAACAGCCTCTCGAAAACAATCGGATTTTTCTTTCAAAGCGAATTTCATCGAAACTATAAGAGATAGAGACAATAGTTTATTTCGACGTTGTCCGAAGACTAACTTCCACATTTGTTAGGCTTTTTTGGTATTGTAAGTTTTGTTTTATAAGTGCCAGGGAATCAACTTGACGCATTAATTCCCAACCTGGAGGACCAGGAAGCATTAGATACGATCCATTATATTGAGAACCTATAATTTAACGCTGGTGATCATAGATCTCTTAATCACGAGATGGAGTCATTTTCGGTTCCCAACACGCGAAAAATCGCCTGTGGGCGCAGGTGGGATTGAACTCGGATCTACAGATCACGAATCGCGAATCACTCGCATCATAGAACAAACTTTCCAGAATGAAAATGGAATGACTTCAACAATACATATAATTAAAAAAAATTTTTTTTAATTTATTTATAATAAAAATTATTTATTTGTTTTTATAAAAACAAATAAATAATTTTTATTATAAATAAATTAAAAAAAATTTTTTTTAATTTATTTATAATAAAAATTATTTATTTGTTTTTATAAAAACAAATAAATAATTTTTATTATAAATAAATTAAAAAAAATTTTTTTTAATTTATTTATAATAAAAATTATTTATTTGTTTTTATAAAAACATTTTTTTATTATAGTACTTTTGAAGCCATTTAATTTTCATTCTGGAAAATTTTTTATCTCTTAATACATATAGTTTCGACGATATTCGTTTCGAAAGAAAAAAATTGATTTTTTTCCGAGATAGAATTTCATTCCCTAAATTTCGAAATAAGTACCAAAAATATATATGTCTAATATTTTACAACATAACCAATCATTAAAATCGGTGAGGGTCAGTTTTGACGGTTTCCTTGTGAAACGTGTAGGTATTAAATGCATTCTCTACACGGACGAGTAAAAAGAAAACGTTCAACTCTTGTTCCTCTCTATCGTATCTTCATCATATCTCGAACTATCACAACCGATATCTCTACTGATCTCTAAAATGTACTGTACTATCCAATAGAATAGCAATCAGAATTAGTAATTGCAACGATAAAACGACACGCAAGATAAATGATGCGTGATCTATATCTACGACAAAGATCTTAATTGAGAGCATAGCGTTATAAATAAACTACTTAATTTTTTTAAATTTAACGTAAATTTAAATATCAATCGACCGTTTCGTAAAAATATATTTTACAATAATGTTTTTAATGAATTATTGTGTTACATCAAAATATATTTTATAATGATTTTGCAGACTAGATGATTTCTCGAACATTTACCGTCCCGAAACTTTTCCTTTATCGCGATTATTCTGTACAGATCAATTGTACCGATATCAAACTGCGCTAACTGCTGTTAACTACATCTCCCTTTCTCGCCTAGAGATAGAACTGTAGAAATAAAAGGAAAATCGAGTGGCGCGCTAACACAAAGGTTAAAGTCAGATTGTAGAGATACAACTCAGCATAAACATTTACTTTAACATTGTTACAAGCAGAGCGATCATATTGTTAGTTTGTTACTCATTAAGCAAACAAATTTACAGGCGAGTGAGTAAATTCACACCACACTTAGTATTTATATCTTAAATTCTCCAACACCGTATCTCCGTTTCCGAAAGCTTTTCCCCGTGATACGCTGCGAAAAATGTTGGATATGAATAAGCATTTACTTCGTTGGTATGTAACTTAATTCTAAAAACATTCTTACTTTTTAATTAACAAATTGTGTTGCTCTAATCAAAATTTAGGTAGAATAGCTGAATTTAATTAGAACAAATTTTTTTAATTAAAAAATAAGAAAGTTTTTATATAAATCACGTATCAACAAAGTAAATAGTTTACTCGCATCAAATATTTCTCTCGGTGTAAGTATAATACAAACGTGTTTAATTGCGAGAAAAAAGATCATAAGTGCACGTTATCTTCAATCGAATATTAGTTACCATTCAACAAGAAATATTACGCTGATGCGTTTTAGTCAGCTCATCTTGAAACAAACAGATCGAAAAAATTGTCTCTATAAATCATAAGCAGCGTAACCAGCTATCGACTTAGCTACCTTGACAGATAAAATTCCTGTTTTAAATCGTTGATGAATGTTTCGGCAAAACCTTGATTAAAAATAAAAGTAAAAGGAGAGAAACCGAAAAGGAACAAAAAAATATGTCTTGTATACGAGTTTATCGAGAGCTGCACTGATTAATAAAGGAAAACTTGATTTTTTCACCGCAGAAATTAATTAAATCCAGATCGCGTATAAATTATCGCTTGCGATATTAACACAACGACGAATATAAAATGATGCAAAGCGACGGTCTCGACTGCATTCGCTCTGTAAAATTAACTCTCCGTATTCAAGATTTCGACATAATTGACGATGCTCTGGTTCTTCCTCAAAGATCTCTAGAGCTTCTCAATCGAACGTACCCTTTATCCGCGTCGAACAAGCATTTTTTAGAATCCTGAACATCTTGAGATTTGAATTAATTCTAATCAAAATGTGTGTAAAAGCAAAATTATAGCTATTTTTTGTAAATATGAAAAGTAGTACTTTATATTTTTCTTCAAACGCTCCCATTTTTCAATCGCCAAATCTCTTGGAGGAAGAGCCACAGCTTTACGAGTTGCATCGAAATTCCGAAAGCGGGTCATTAAGTTTACAGAAGCGTCCTACTCGCCGATCACAAACACGTTTGTGGCATCGTATCTCTTAACACAACTCAGGAATCACTTTGGTACGCCAAACAAGTAACGTAAGCACTAACATGCAGTCGCACAGTACAGCGCCATAAACTCGTGCCAACTATCGACATAAAAACTGTTCCAAGACTCTGCCTGTCGCCGAAACATTTAACTGGGCATTATATGTACGCTAAGAGGAGCATGCTGTAGAATACAAGGCTCCAAGGAGGAAGTCAAGTGATCGGGGCTGTTATGTATGTGATTTCAACCACGGGTGTGTTCGCGAAGGCAAAAGTTTCCCCGTGTTTTCTAAATATACGAGCATGAAGTATGCAGAAGCGCGGATACGATCAAAGAGATTGTAAACACGATAATTTATTCCGAGGTAAAAAAAAAAAAAATAGGATCTTCGAACGGTGATGACAAAGTGTGGAATTATGCGAACATCATTGGGATTAGCCGCGGGCACGAACGCATTACATATCGATTACATAATAGCCCTGACGAACTTTTAGAAACTGTGAAATGTATCTCCACAAAAGAAAAACGAATAATTTATATGGTAACAACGTATGTTCATGCAATGCTATATGTATGTCTGATTCTCTTTAGTCAGCCTGACTGACTACTTAATAAAACGGAGACTCGCATTAGCTGATAGTAAAGATGTTTCGACATGCCAGGCCTTTTGGAAGTCATGATAACCGCGTGGCCGGGTCAGGATTATTTTTTAAATCGTTCAGCACAGTCGTTCGTAATCGTGTCTCAACGATTGCAAATTTTTTATTTTTCTTCTGCCTTTCTTCTGTATTTTAATGTTTTCCAATATCCCGTTAAAGACGATTTTAAACTAGTTTTTTTTTTTTTTTTTGCAGAGAAAGGCATTTTACTTGTTCATTGAAGAATTACGGGTGTTTTGTTCAACGCATAAAAAATAATCCCTCTTTTCGATGTAACTAGTGGTGTCTTTGGTCATTTATCTTCATGCAGTTAAGTAGTAATCGGTATGTTCGGTATAATATATTTCGTAACAAAGCCACCACAGTAACAGGAAATGTGTAGTAGCAGGACTCACCCATAAAGTCTGCTGTCCCGCAAGCTGCTCCTGCTCCAAATAACACAGAAAGCACAGTTACGATATATCGAACACAATTGTAGTCGTCGTAGTAACGAAATACGGAAATCAACGAAAATTATTCAATTATCCAGAGAACCATGAAATAACTGATTTATTGAAATGATACATATACAATACGTTAAACAAACAGAATGTATCCATTTGGCCTTGAAAATATAACAATAAGACAGCATCGCGACTCGAACCAATAACGTGTACATAACTCGAAAGGAGAATCGCAATGCCATTAAGAAATCAAATAAATTGGCATTTTACATGACCGATAATTCCTACGTAATACATAGCTGACACGTTTTTACGATCCTCGCCCGGAAATCTAACAGAATATCATCTGGACTTATATAAGAGGATCAACAGCGAGATAGCTGATTTGTACGTCGTTCCGCAAATGAGATGCTAAAATTACGTTCTGTGGTGTTTACACTTTTCAGAAACTAATAACCTACGGTTACTGCTTCATTTTTTTTTTTACACTTTTCTCGTACAATAATCTCGTTACATAATTCGCAATGCCGTGCACGTTATCTCTTCTACTTGCTATTCGATTAGTGTAGCGTCTTACTCGCAAGTATATGTAAAAATGTACGTACTTTTGCAACAACTTAACGAAAGAAGTTCGAAATATCGGGATTTGCATTAAAGGGTAACCAAGCGAGTGACGAAACTTTAAGGCGAAATTTACAAACTACTTTAGCTTGTACTTATAAATATGTACAAATAATGTTCTCCCGTTTATAAATGAAACTTAATTTCCTCCCCCTAAAAAGAACGAAAGTTATCACAGTTCAACTTCTGTTATTGCTTCGAACAAGCAGCATGCAAAAATGCGTAGCGTAATATACTATCCCGGGAATTATAATACAATAGAGAGAAAATATTACGAGATCGTATTAATAAATTATAAAATTCCTTCTCTCTTAAAGATTCGAGAAGTTCCTATTATAAGTAACAAACGTATTCGTTATCGAATATATAGATAGACGGACGGATGAACGTTCGGACGGATATATATAATAACAGTACACCAAGTACAGTACATAGGATAAGTTTATCTGAATCTCTTTAACTCTCCTTTCCTCGTGCAATTAACGGTTAATAAATTGTGCGGTTATTAGTTCGAAAATTGTAAATTTCGATTTTTTTTCTTACTTAAGTTTAAAACGTACCCAATATAAGTCGAATCAAAAATAAATGGGATACAGATTGAGGGGAAGGGGGAGATATCGCGGATTTAAAGCTATACATACGTATATACATGTATATATATATATAGGTATACCAGAGACCTCCTTTTGAAAGAAATTAAAGAAAGGCGGATGCAGAATATATATCCAACTATGTATATAACATTTTGCTATTATGGTACGTACTGGGGAAGGTAATAATTTGCTTATGTGCTGCATACCTGTCGTTACCATGCCTGAATAAAGCTAGAATCTCTTCGAATGTTTTATTCTTGGTCTCAGGAACCTTCTTGTAGGTGAAGATCCAGAAGATGGCTAGAAATGCACTGAACGGTAGGAACGTGTAGTTTTCAAGGCTACTCTGTAACACGCAAATATAGCACGTTTATAATACGTATATAATTGTTACGTTCTATCATATCAATTTTAATAACAAGTTAATATAACAATTATAATTATATTATTCGTTAGCGTTTTCTTCCTTTGAGTTTAATTATTTGCAATTATTCAATGATTAGAGAAAGTTTATTTAAAAAGAATCGATTGTGGTCGTCTTACCTTCATGCTTGGAAAACCGATGCCAACCAAAAAATTAGCCATCCAATTGACGAGAACCGCTATGGACATGGCGGCTGGTCTAGGGCCTTGCGAGAACAGCTCCGCTGTGATCATCCAAGGTATAGATCCGGGTCCCACAGCGAAGAATACGACGAAGCACAAGGTCGACACTACCGAGATGTAGGACATCCAGTCGATCATTTCCTGCACATAGCCAAAGAACTCCTATCAGGCAGTAGAATTGTGTTCTTCTTTCCTGAGCAGCTGGAGGAGCCTCAGGAAAAATAAAAATAAGAAAGTACGGCAGGCCAGGAACTCAATCGAAAAACTTTCGGATAACACATGTCGAACGTATGCGTAATAATTCGTAATGCCGCATGCGGTGCGCAGCTCAACCCTGTGTAATGAAAGGCATTGGCATTGACAAAGTGATTGCGGCAAAGTATTCTGTATAACGACAGAGTGCCTTGTTATGTACATTACAATCTCTCGTTAAGCGGTGAAGCACGGTACGCTGCTTTCCATGATGAGTGCCAGGATTTGCTTTGACCTCAATTAGAGTGGTAATGCGATCAGTCGTACGCGCAGAACATCTATGTGCAGATGGTCTCGAATCGAGATATCTTAATATTTTCAGAAAAACTGTATTATAGCTGTACATCTTTTCTTTCTACAATTTTTACGCACGAAAAAAACTGAACCGTGTGTCCTCACAATATTCTCATAAGAATATTATACAATTTATAATATTCTTATAATACTGTATAAAAATTACAATTCATTCTTATAACATCCTCGTAATAATCTTATAGGAATGCAAAATGCAAATTTATACGACAGGTCTTCTAATTAGTAGTAGTTGTTACAGAAAAATGAATTATTCTTTCTTGTTGAAAATCCCGTAACGTGAAAGCATCGGTGCTAGACATTCAGCAGCTAAAGAACCGCTAGTTTTATATACAAAGGATAATAACTGATATTAGGGACTTCGCGAATAACATGTTAATTGTTGATGTAATGTGATATATAGAGAGTGACAGGTTTGAGCCAAGTAGAGAACATAGGCTGATTAATAAACGGGAAGTAAATCTCCTCCAGACAGTCACGAAAGAGGTCGTCAGTAGTGAAGGGGAGGAGGGAAGCGGGTTTCATCAAAAAGCAGAACTACTAGTAAGCCAGAGTAACGAAACGGCGTGCTATATACGAAACATGCGACACTTGTCGTCTGCATTGCTCTCACATTTTTTCTCGCGCCTCTATATCGATTGCTTAATTACGCGTTCAGCTAGTTATTCCACAAAAAAAGTTATTCAAAATAAGACTCGTATTTAAGCAAACAAAACCAAAACCAATAAATGAGCATAAGGGAGAAATTTAGTAAAAAAAAAAATGACGATATCAAATTTATTCAAAATAATAATGATATATATGTAATAAATTAAATATTTTTTATTTTTTTTTTTGCTAACTTTATCTCTTAATCTTGCTTGTTGGCTTTGATTTTATTTCATTTGCTGAATCATTATAATAATAAAAACAATTGTTGAACATATCTATAACATTTAAAATATCTGTATATTAAGAATTATCTATTTTGTTTCGTATTTATATATAAAAGTTATTTCGTCAAAAAATGTATGTACGTAAAGTATACGTACGTGTCCATGTATCGCGATATAAAAATTTCTACGGCGCAAATGAATGAAACGGCATGCGGGTAAAGGATGTGACTTATAGGCTACATGTGAATGGCGGGAAGAAATTAAAATGAGTCGATTCTTTGATGCAAATTTATATAGATATAATGGTGATTCTCACTGTCGGTGCAGTGCCGCACTCCAGCTGTGAACAAAGTGTTAAGTACACCTTTCACCAAGGTGCATAAAGTGCCAAAGCACAGATACGTAGCTACAATTCACGATCTTGTGATGCGATTTTCCTGAATAAAGCATAGTTTTTAACAGTACGGAAAAGTATTAATAAATAAATCCGCCATTATCAATGGATCTCGATTCATCTTCTCTCTCTATCGAATATTTTTCCTCAAACAAGATAAATTATTCTATGTAACTATTTAATATATAACGACATGTATTATTTTACTATTAAAATTTAAGTTACAAAAGATCTTGCTTCTTCAATTATTAACTCCTTTAAAAGTCTAATCAACGTTAGCGAGTTTGTCGCTAAATAAGCATATGGTTTTAAAATTTTTTAAATTCTTGTGATGAATTTCTTTTGATATATACAAGCCACAATTTATTAATAAAAGATCATATAATGAATATTTGCGAAAAAATTTCGGTATCCGTAATATTGAATTTTCTGTATCTATAAACGCTCTGTTATTTATCGAGTATGCAAGCAATAAAAAACTTTGACAAATTGCCTGTTGCAGTCTATCATTAAAATAATAACAAGTACAATAAACATGTGTGTGATAAAAACGCGTTAAAATTCCAACTCACCTTTATGAGAAACGAAATTGTGATGAATATTGAAAAGATAAACATGCCACCAAGACCATACAAGTGCAACGTACGCCTTCCTGTCCTATCCATGAGTGGGATAGACACTAGCGTCATACAAACCATGATGGCACCTATGCCAATGGTTGCAAACTTGGCACTCTCGTCCGTTAAACCAGAACTAGTGAACAGATTCGTGGAATAATAAAATACCTGGAACACGCAATAATTTTACATCAGATCGCTCCAATTAATTCATTCTGATCGACAGTAACAAAAACGAGAAGGCAATTGAACAAAATAGTTACTTACGGCATTGATACCCGAAAGCTGCTGCGAAAGTTGCATAACCACACCAATAACGAGAGGTGCTCTTAGAGTTGGACTGCATATAAGCTCTGTCATTGATATCGTGGACTCAGCTTGTTGAGCTCGTTCCTCCGCTCTCATCTCCTCAATGTCTTCTTCTACTTGGTTACTGGCTCTCAACCTTCTCAAAGCTTTTCGAGCCTCTTCCTCCCACTGTTTAGTAATGAGCAAATATCTGAAATAATTTTTTTTCTATTAATAGACTGCGGCATCGCTTGTGTATCAATTAATAGAAATGTAAAAGATCATGGGCGGTATTTTATTATTGTATAATCCTTCGATCAGGTTCTTTGAAGAATAAACTTAAAAACATCGGAGGAACAAGATTTCTTTCAACTGTAAATAATTCTACATAAATTTCGACACACACCTTGGAGATTCCGGGCATACTGGAAGCAGCAGTAGCTGTAGAATGGCAGGACAGATAGCTAGTCCTAAGAGAACGGGCCAACCCTCGTTTGTTCCAAGGATTTGCTCGATGCCCAGCACCTGGGAGACCAGGAGGCCCACCGTAACAGCGAGCTGGTTCACCGTGCCTAGGCCGCCTCTCAGGTTCAATGGCGCTATTTCCGATATGTACATGGGAACCAATGAGGTGTTCAAGCCGCAATTAACACCGATGATAAACCGTCCAAAAAACAGCATCTCGTACGACTCAGCAAGTTTCGTGAAACCCATCAGGCACGCCCCCACGATGCCCAGCACGTTGTTTAGCAGTAAGCCTCCCTTTCTGCGATTCAAAGCAGAAAGCCAATATCAATATTCTGTCTCCTTCCATTTTATGATTTTCCGACAGTCATTGTTCCAGAGATTTCCAAATTATAGAACGCGATGTTATTCATTACGAAAATTCTATATCAAAGCTATACTTAATAAATGTATTTATTATATTAAAATTTTCTATTGAAAAGATAAATTGAAGAAAGGAGGAAACTCAATACGAATATAATTTTGTGAAAGAAAAAAGATATATTTATATTATAAATTATAACATTTTTTCTTTCATAATTATGTATGTTATGTATCACACCTTATATATTATAATTTGGAAAGCACTAGCCTCTTGTTCAAATAACCCCGCACTAATTATATTAAAATTTTTCTATGTAATTAGTACGGGATCTTTACGGAACCAATGTGAATATCGTTAAACCAGACACTGACCTGCCAAATCTGTTGGCAATTGTCCCTCCACTGAAACCACCCACCATACCACCGATCGCGAATATGCTCACGGCCACGGAGTATAACGTCTTAACAGAATCATCCGAAATATCCTCCCCGTACCTATCCTTGTACACATCTTTCATAAAATTCTCTATGTTCTGCAAACAATTTGAACGCAATACATTATACGAGCGTTCGTTAGTGACAATTATTTGAGACGTGTACACAGACTCTTTACGTTGATAAACGTACCACTTCAGGCGCGTTAATCACTCCAGTGTTGTATCCAAACTGCAACATTCCCAATACGGCTGCTAATATCGCGTACGACAGGAAAAGCGTCAGTCCCTGTAAATACCCGGATTTATCGTTTGCATTGCGTGTGAAATATAATTAACAATACATACGCATCACATATGTATTTAGCACAACATATAAATAATAGGAAAGGGAGTGCTAATGAGGTGCAGCGTAAATACAAGATAAAATAAAAGTACAAAAACGTATAAAATTATTCCACATAATTTTTATTAACAGCATCATGAAAATCATACATCGCTAAAGAAAATAAAAAATCATAAATGATTTTAAAAAATCACGCACACATACACGATTATTCACGGCATAGCAACTCAAAAGTTAAAACATAATAAAAACAGATTAAATGAAGAAAAGCAACATTGTTTAACGCCAGGAAGTCACCTGCTCCAGTAGCCTAAGTTTTCGCCGATGGGAGTGCTCTTCCAGTCGATTCACGTACTCTCGTAATTCCTCTATCTCTTCCTTGACCTGCTGTACCGTATCTAGTTCTTGCTGCGTGTCAAGAAAAAGAACACCTCAAGTACTTCCGTACATACCAAATGCAATTTTTACATTATTGAAAGAGCGGTAAGACGCTCTTTCAGTAATATACAAATTTATATTCTTAGACATCAAACTATTAATCTGACTTTATTCTTTCCTCTTTTGTTACGCCATTGATTTGTGACAATTTATCTACTCGTCTTTTTACATATTCGCAATTTTATCCCTACTTTTAAATATATAAAATCAAACGGTCTCTCCGAGTTTTTTTATTATCAAAAAGAATTATGAAGTTACCTCGTAGTAATTTTTCATCGTACTTTAATCAACATGTAGCAAAACGTGTTTACATTTGTTATATTAATATTAAAATTAATAATTAAACATCTAATTTAAAAAAGAAACGAACGCATTTTACTTTGAGTAAAACTAACATTAATTTAATCCCTTTTAAAGTAAGATTCTCTCTCGTGTTTTCTTTTTCGTCTCGATATTTGGTTTAAATTGTCAGTCTGAAAAGTATAAATAAAAAAAAATAAATAAATGTATAGGCACGTCAGCTGGAGTGTACCTTAATCGTGACCATGTCCCGTTTCACCTCGCTGACCTCGCTCTGACAAGACTCTACGCTCTTCGTGAGCTCCTGCAGCTGCGTGCGGATCTCGCAGAGAGCGACGGTGGTCTCCAGCTGGCGGTCACCCCGCTGCAGCTCGTCCAGCTTGGCACTCAGGTTCATACTCATAACGCTGACCTGTTTCTGCAGACTGTCCCCACACACACAATCCCCGCGTGAATCTCGCTGATTCGTACGGGAGAGCGGTTCGACAACATGTGTCGAGCACACTGACACTAGACGTTCAAGGCTAGAGCTATTGCCTAAGTCCCTAAGATAAGTTCCAACTACCTCCGCGCTTAACTGCCGAGCCTCTCCGCCTGCGAGACCGTTTAGCGCGGCGCGTTTTATGTGCATATATGATATCATCTAAACCGCATGTACTTGAAGTATGAGGATGCGACGTTGTGTAGAATGAAAAACAGAAAAACGATTCGACAGGTGCAAAGTGCGGAACACCTTCAACCCCCGAGAGCTCGAAAGCGCGGCGAGCCGGCGTTAGCTCGGCAGCCATAGGGAATGTTGGGTAGATGTTGTAATACGTGAACGAGATATATATAATGTGTGTGTATATATAATATATATATATATGTACACACACATAAATATTTTTTATAAATCGGCTCTCTCTCTATATAATATACAATATATTTATGTAGTAAATATGTCAAGTTGCAGAAAACAATAGCAGACAAAACACAAACGCCACTAAAAGCACGTCTAGGGTGTGTGTGGTGAGTGTGAAGGGTGATAGACACTACAGTGGTAATATACATAGTGTGTGTATATATATATATATATATATGAATACAAATATATTCTTCGCAGCTGTGCACATATTAGATGGAAGTTTGTGAATTCGCATGTGTGTAGATAGACATAAGTAGGTACAAGTGTCTCAATATTTGCTGAAACGTCAAAATGATATTCTCCCCGTTTGTGAAAAGTCTATGCATATAGGATCTCGCGAACCTAACCGTATCGCCTCTGTATCGCTTTACGTATAATTATTTCTATGGCCATGATGCATGAATGTGAAAATGAATGAAAATGGCTGATATCTCGCATCCGCTTTATGCGTATAGAATACGTATCGTGAAGGATCATGAGACGACTTTCGAACGACTCGGTGAATTGGCAAACTCATCGATCGATGTGCACAGCCAAGCAGAAAGGGTGACTTAAGATGAGAATGTAATAGAATAGAGCGAGAGAAAGAGAGACCGAAAGTTTTTTTTTTTTTCTAATGCAAGATATATGATGAGTGACAGGTGAATAGCAGAAATGAATGAGCACATGATTCGAAGGCGCGGACAGATGAGACGGAAAGTAAAAGACGACGTAGGAAGAAGACAAAGGGATAACGGGCAAGATAGACATAGAGAGACGGAAATATGTACACTTATCAAGCAAAGGATTGCACCACCTCCCTAGTCGAATAAACGGGGAACAAAGGCAGGTCTAAGAAAGGCGGAAGATTGAGGGTTTAAGCATCCAAGAGTCCATTCGAGGAACGCATTCAGGAATCAAGTGCAGCTAGTGATCTATGCATCCAAAGATCGAGAGATTAAGTAATATCGTGATATGATACTTGATTGGAATTATAATTGTTTCAGAAGACGCATAACCAAAAGTGGTAGAATTCTATTTTTGATATGTGTACATAAAGACAGAGGCAACCCTCGTGGAAAAATATAATTGGATTAGTGGAAAAAAAAACTATTGGAACAAATAGTGTACAGTGGTGTACTCGATTTGAATGGTTTTCCAATAATTTCCAATAGTTTTTTCGCGAGTCCAGTAGTATTTTTCCGTAAAGGAAGGGAGAGAAAGAGCGGGGTAAAAAGAAAGAGAGAGAGAGAGAGAGAAAGAGAGAGAGAGAGAGCAGTGATGATGTTGTCATGTACCTGGGAGGTAGGGAGACCATGGCTGTGTTCCGAAACTACAGTAGCCTCTATGCCTCCCCACTCACTCCTCTTGATTCAGTATTTCGTCTTATTCTCACAGAGATCTATTTGTTCTTTGCTTTGTTCACACGACAATGTACGTACGTTGGATTATCCACCAAATCCAATCAATTGACTCTGAACTGCTTGTTGTCAAGTGGTTGTCCACAACGGTAACGTACACGGCGGGAGGGGGTATAAGGCCCGACGACGCCCGCCCCTGCCTCCTCTCTTATCTCACTCTGTAAAACTTTACCTAGTTTGGAAACACAGTCGTGGTTCAGTCATAAAAATCATGTCATAATGATATATTCGCTCGCATTTAGTAATCGTGACGTCCAATTCGCTTCTATATGTATATATAAGTATATATATTTCGAAAAAAAAAAAAAAAAGAAAAAAAAGGAGACGGAGCCGTCACGTGTGAATGGAGAGACTTTTCACACATCACCATGCGACGCACCGCCAGCTTACTCACCCCTGCCTAGCTGCCCGCGTCCACAAGCGAGCTTGCACAATTCGAATGGCCCATCACTTTATGCGGAACGAACAGTCGGCAAAATAATTTACAAAAATTAGCATGACCTCATGAGTATGATAAAGAGAACGAGACACGCACACAAATAAGTCACAGCGACGGCACATCGAGCGACAAGATAATGCGAGTAGTAGTGTGTAGTCTTACGAGGATCTACGACACGCGCGCAACCCTCGAGGCTGGAAGAGGATGATCGTGCTCGTGATTAACAATTTGCGCTAACATAAAAAGTGAATGTGTTTTTTTTCGTTTTGTTTTGTTTTGAGCTACTTGAAAAGCACGATAGATTTTTTCAGCGAACTTTGTAATCCATCTATTACGTCAACGGATAGGATATTTCTTCTCTTCCTCTTCTCTCATTTAGAACACTTTTTTTTAACGATTATGTAGACAATTTCATTGCAATCGCGATTCTTTTACCAATGACACAACGGAATTTCATCGCTTCGTTGAGAATTAATTGCCTGTGTCCCGGTATGTATGCCGTATACATAAACCGGATATGCCATTACCGGTGCTCCGGTTTTTACTCCTCGTTTCGAGCTCTAGCGAGTGCTATTGCGGGCTTATTTGTGCACCTGACATCGAGAGGGAGACATGATTTTCGAATATGGAATGAGCAATCAGTGGTAAGCCTGCGAGCGCCGCAGCCAAAAAATTCATGTAACAACGGTATAATATCGGTAGTGTCTGATCATCGACTTGTTATGAGACCGAGAAGTGTGTAGTATGTACAAGAATAAGTTTAAGAGCGAGTGTGATTTATGTATAAATGATGAATGGCATGGCACAAAGCCTTGCATTGCATTCTCGAATACATAGAGAGTCTATGTCTATATAAAATAATAAGCGGGGAAGACGTCCGTTTCTTTCTTCTTTTTCCTTTTTTTTTTTTTTTCC